AAGTGAGAAATACGATAGAATTTAAGAGAGAAGCGATTGAAAAATTTGAGAGTGGTATGTGAGTGATGGAACTTGCCAGGATGTATGGGAAAAACAAATCTACCATCACTTCCATCCTGGCAAAGAAAGAACAAATCAAAGAAGCTGATGTTGCAAAAGGAGTAAATGTGATAACGAAACGAAGGTCACCAACATTGGAAGTTATTACTGTTGTCAATCAGGGAAAAACAATTAGTGGGAGATAGTGTTGTGGGCTCAGTGATTTGTGAGAAGGCAAAGCAGTTGTATGTGGATCTTGTAAATAAAATGCCTGGAACAAGTGCTGCTGTTAGTGAATTTAGGGCCAGCAAAGGCTGGTTTGAGAGATCCAAGAAGCATAGTGGCATACACAGTGTGGTAAGGCATGGAGAGGCTGCAAGGTCTGATAAATGTGTGGCTGAAAAATTTGTGCAAAATTTCAAGAGGCTAAAAAATTCCTCCTCCAACAAGTGTTCAATTGTGATGAAACAGGCCTGTTTTGGAAGAAAATGCCAAAGCAGACCTATATTATGCAGGAGGAAAAGGCCCTGCCTGGACACAAGCCTATGAAAGACAGGTTTACTCTTTTGTTCTGTGGTAACTCTACTGGGGATTTCAAAGTGAAGCCTCTACTGGTGTATCACTCTGAAAATCCCAGATTGTTCAAGAAACACAGTGTTTTCAAGAGTAAATTGTGTGTGATGCAGAGGGCTAACAATAATGTGTGGATCACAAGGCAAATTTTCAAAGTGTGGGTGAATGAGTGTTTGGCCTCAGTGAGAAAAAAATACCTCTTGGAACATAAATTGCCACTCAAGTGCCTCCTGGTACTAGACAGTGTTCCTGCTCATCCTCCAAACTTGGCAGACCTATTGTCTGTGGAATTCTGTTTCATCACAGTAAAGTTCTTGCCTCCTAACACCACTCCTCTCATCTAGCTCATGGACCAGCAGGTCATTTCTAACTTCAAAAAACTGTACACCAAAGCAGTGTTGTTTCAAAGGTGCTTTGAAGTGACCTCGGACACAGATTTGACCCTAAGAGACTTCTGGAGGAATCACTTCAGTATCCTCCATTGCATAAGCCTTATAGGTAAGGCTTGGGAGGGAGTGACTTCCAGGACTTTGAACTTTGCTTGGAGAAAATTGTGGCCAAAATGTGTCCAAGAGAGAGATTCTGAAGGGTTTGGGGCTGACCCTGAGGACCCTGTGCCTGTTGTGGAATCCATTGTATCTCTGGGCAAGTCCATGGGGCTGGAGGTTAGTGGTGAGGATGTGGAAGAGTTGGTGGAGGACCACAGGGAAGAGCTAACCACTGAAGAGCTGCAAGAGCTTCATCTGGAACAGCAACAGACCACAGCTCAGGAACTTGCTTCAGACGAGGAGAAGAGGGAGTGAAAGAGATGCCTTCTTCAGAGATTAAGGAGATTTATGCAATATGGAGTAGAGTGCAAGCTTTTGGTGAGAAATATCACCCTGACCAAGCTGAAACAAGCTACATCTGCAACAGGTTCAGTGACAGAACCTTGTCGCACTTCAGGGAAATCTTAAAGAGATGCCAGAAACAGAGCTCTCTGGACAGATATTTTGTGTGACAGGGGTCCAGTGACTCTCAAGCTGGTCCTAGTGGCATTAAAAGACAAAGAAGGGAAGTAACCCCAGATAGAGCTTTGATACCTGAAGGCCTTATGGAGGGGGAGTCCCCTTCCAAAAAAAGTACTCTCCTCCCTCTCTCCTCCCTATCTTCCATAAGCCAACAACAGTCTTCACTAAACATATATAATACTAATTTAATTGTTCCTGTATTTATTTTATTTAGTTATTGTTTTGTGTATGTAAAACTATAATTAATCTCTAAAAAATGTATTTTTTTGTGAATATTTTTGGGCATCTGGAACGGATTAATTGTGTTTATGTTAATTCTTAGGGGAATAATTATTTCGGTTATCGACCATTTTGGTTTTAGGCTGGCCTTCTGGAACTGATTATGGCCAATAACCGAGGGTCCACTGTACTAACTACCACTTACCAGTAACACAACAGTACCACTTACCAGCAATACAATACTGTCACCAGTGACACAACACTACCACTTACCAGCAACACAGCACTAATTTTCACTTACCAGCAACACAACACTACCACTTACCAGTAACACAATAACTGCCACTTACCAGTAACACAACACTACCACTTGCCAGTAACACAACATTACCACTTACCAGTAACACAACACTACCACTTACCAGTAACACAACACTACCACTTACCAGTAGCAGCACTAACTACCACTTACCAGTAACAAAACACTAATTACCACTTGCCAGTAACACAACATTAACTGCCACTTGCCAGTAACACAACACTAACTGCCACTTGCCAGTAACACAACACTACCACTTACCAGCAACACAGCACTACCACTTACCAGCAACACAACACTAACTACCACTTACCAATAACACAACACTAATTACCACTTGCTAGTAACACAATACTAACTGCCACTTACCAGTAATACAGCACTAGCTACCACTTACCAGTAACAACATTAACTACCTCTTACTAGTAACACAACACTACCACTTACCAGTAACACAACACTACCACTTACCAGCAACACAACACTAACTACCACTTACCAGTAATACAACTCCACCACTTACCAGTAACACAACACTACCACTTACCAATAACACAACACTAACTACCACTTACCAGTAACACAGTGCTAACTACCACTTACCAGTAACACAATACTAACTACCACTTACCAGTAACACAACACTATCACTTACTAGTAACACAGCACTACCTCTTACCAGTAACACAAAGCTTGTCTTGTTCCTCACCTGGAACATATAAGACACACCAGTAACACAACACTGTAACTACCAGCAACACAAAACTTATCCTGTTCCTCACCTGGAACATATAAGACACACCAGTAACACAACACTGTAACTACCAGCAACACAAAACTTATCCTGTTCCTCACCTGGAATATATAAGACACACTAGTAACACAACACTGTAACTACCAGTAACACAAAGCTTGTCTTGTTCCTTACCTTGAACATATAAGACACACCAGTAACACAACACTGTAACTACCAGTAACACAAAGCTTGTCTTGTTCCTCACCTGGAACATATAAGACACACCAGTAACACAACACTGTAACTACCAGTAACACAAAACTTATCCTGTTCCTCACCTGGAATATATAAGACACACCAGTAACACAACACTGTAACTACCAGCAACACAAAACTTATCCTGTTCCTCACCTGGAACATATAAGACACACCAGTAACACAACACTGTAACTACCAGTAACACAAAGCTTGTCTTGTTCCTCACCTGGAACATATAAGACACATGGTGAGGTTGTTTTGGGGTCAGGAGTGTCAGTTTTATTTGCTGTAAATTTGAAAAGCTTGTTTGTTCACCTTAGCAGCAACAAACAAGTAACAACATCATTGGATGCTGCTACTTGGCAGCATTACAGTGATGGCAGGTCATTTTTTGACAACTTCAATGTGATATAAAACAGCTGATTCTCAGATTTTTTTTCTTCGTGTTTTTCTGTTTAGAAAACTGTGCTCTGTTAATCCATAGGAAACCTACATTCTTCAGTTTTTTTTCACTCCTACCAGAACTTTTTATTTCAGGGTCTGCCACAGTTTAAGACTTAATTCAAGAATTATAAATTTCTTTTTCCCCTCATCCCAATTCTGACACTGTTTTAATTTTATGGTGTATATGACTAAAGTTTGTATTTTTTTCAGTTGTTTTTGAATTAAATTCATCTTTTTTTGTACTTCATTATATGGGGTGTATGTGTGTGTGTGTATGTACTCAAATATTTGTGATTGCAGTCATAGCTCCTGGCCCCACCCTTCACTGGTCACTACTAGGTTCTGTCTCTGCTCCATGAGCTTTATCAAACTTCTTAAAAATGTATGGTTCCTGCCTCCACTACGTCACTCTCCAGACTATTCCACTTCCTGATGACTCTATGTCTAAAGAAATACTTCCTAACATCCCTCTGACTCATCTGAGTCTTCAGCTTCCAATTGTGACCCCTTGTTTCTGTGTCCCATCTCTGGAACATCCTGGCCCAGCTTCTTCACTGGTCGCACCTAGATCCACTCTCTCACTGCTTCATGAGCTTTATCATATCTCTTCTTAAAGCTTAAGGCTACATATGGTGTGTGTGTGTGTGTGTGTGTGTGTGTGTGTGTGTGTGTGTGTGTGTGTGTGTGTGTGTGTGTGTGTGTGTGTGTGTGTGTGTGTGTGTGTGGGGTTGGGTGGGAGGGTAGGGGGGTTACCTTATTTTTTTTAGTAACATTCATCAATATGGAATTTACAAAATATCAGAACATATCATTATGTTTTACATGTTATATTATGTTCACTCTGTGTTCATTTTATGCACTGCAGTGAGGAACACAACTGTGGGTTACAGTGAGGAAGACCTCTACCTACTTGAGGTGTTGTTGGAGGTTGAGTGTTGTGTACACACAGATACTGAGTGACAGTGTTATGTACACACAGGTACTGAGTGTCATTGTTGTGTACACACAGATACTGAGTGACAGTGTTATGTACACACAGGTACTGAGTGTCATTGTTGTGTACAACAGGTACTGAGTGTCAGTGTTGTGTACACACAGGTACTGAGTGTCATTGTTGTGTACAACAGGTACTGAGTGTCAGTGTTGTGTACACACAGGTACTGAGTGTCATTGTTGTGTACACACAGATACTGAGTGTCAGTGTTGTGTACACACAGGTACTGAGTGTCATTGTTGTGTACAACAGGTACTGAGTGTCAGTGTTGTGTACACACAGGTACTGAGTGTCATTGTTGTGTACAACAGGTACTGAGTGTCGGTGTTGTGTACACACAGGTACTGAGTGTCACCATCTGTAGGTAGTGGGTAAGTCTACTTTCAAATATTGAACCAATTATTGCAGGTGTTGTGTGTGGCAGCACCTCTGCCATTACCGGGACTTTCACCTTATTGAGAGCATTAGAGGCTGGGGAGCACATGATTAGAAAGGGTACAACATTTATTTTTAATTGTATGTGATATATTCACTTAGTTATTTGTGGTTTATTATTTTAAGATCTGTATTGTCCTTCCATTTCCTGCAGTATATGTTGGCTTTGATTGCTCTAGGTTTCAGAAGGTTGACTTCTCTGGCATATGGTCAATATTAACTAAATTACCACAGTGTTGGTTCTGGCTCCTGCTACTTAGTCTTGAAATAAAGTCAATGAATGGTAACTGTGTGTGTCATTAGAAAGTAGATGGATGATAACACTGTCATTAACCCTTAAACTGCCGACTGGGAAAATGCTGTTGGTGTAAATTTACGCCAAATTCTTAGGCCACCAGAATGGTCTTGATTGGCCTGGTTAGGACTACATCAGAGATAACAAGTCTTTGTCATAGATGTGTACAGCCTAAAAAATTTGTGTTGATCACACAGCATTTTGGGAGTCAGCAAATGACATTTACATTTGTTTAGTGATACTAAAATACATATAAGAGAAATATAAAAACATATAGGCATAAAACATATCACTCATTAAAGAATAATTAGGAAAAACTGGAAAAAATGGTAAAATACAGTAGTACCTCTGTACTCGAATAATATGGCATTCGAACGCTTGTTCAGTAAAAAAAAAAATCCCTCGGTAGTTGACTGTTTGCTCGGCACTTGACCAAGTGATGTGGTCAGTCTCCCTGCAGCTGTCACTTAGTGCAAAATTCTACTGAACTTCACTGTAAACTGTTTCATGTTTCTTCACATTTGTTGGTGTTTTCTTTATGTTATTTGTATAAATAAGTCACCACCCAAAAAGAAAATTGGTTGGAGTCACAATAGAGATGAAAAATTATAATTGATTATTCCTTATAGGAAAAATTCGTTCGGTACTCGAGCAGATCGGCACTTGAACAGCCTTCTGGAATGAACTAAGTTCAAATACCAAGGTTTCACTGTATGTTAAAACACAGCATCTTCCTCCATGCAACAAGCAACACAAACATTGCCTTCAAACCTTTGGATCTCCATAATAAATAATCAGATTTCACTCATTCTTCTCATATTATATCTCTAAAATCAGGAAGATTTTTTAGTAAAATGAAATCTTTTTTTTTTTTTCAAAATTGCCAGTATTGATGTCACTTTTACTGTGGACCCTTGGGCAGTTTAAGTTAAATGAAGCAGATACATGCTAATGTTGTGTGTTATTAAATTAATGAAGCAGATACATATTAATATTGTGTGTTATTAACCCTTTCAGGGTTGAGAGGCCCTCTCAAACTTGTTTTCAGGGTCAAAAATTTTTTGAGAAAAAAAAAATATATATATTCTTATGAAATGATAGAGAATCTTTTCCCAATCATAATGACACTAAAAGTATGAAATTTGATGGAAAACTTACAGAATTATGCTCTGGTGAAGTTAGCGGTCTCGACAGTGTTTACGCATTGGTGATTTCGCCCACTTTGAGCCCTATTTTCGGCCAATTCCGGTATACTAGTCGACAAAAATCATAACTATTTCGCAAGAACTCCACTTTTTCTATCGAATGAGTACAAGAAACCACCCATTTACCGATTTCAGCTATCCAATAAAGTGGTCAGAAATTGGCAATTTTGCCAATTTCACACAAATTTCAAAAGATGCCAATTTCCAAACAGGGTCCAGAATAAACAAGACAGACATTCCGGGCACTAAAATAACATTTCCTCTGTTCATTAGTCACGTCCCCAGGCCCCTCTTACATTTCTTTTGCTTTCCACTTTGAATTTTTATTCTCACAAATAATAGAAGATTTACTGTTATGCAGACTACTGCATTAGTGTAGAAATGGTATAAATAATATCAGCGCACATGAAGGAATATTACACTCGCCAGTTGATGTGCATTGGACACATGGCATGATTTGTTTACTTTTAAACTTTGGCAAAAATCGAACATTTCTACTACTTTGAGCTCAGTTTCAGGTACTGTTGAGAGTGACTGTCTTGAGTGTCTAGAATGTTGAGTGTGACTGTCTTCAGTGTCTAGAATGTTGAGTGTGACTCTCTTGAGTGTCTATAATGTTAAGTGTGTCTTTAGTGTCTAGAATGCTGAGTGTGACTGTCTTGAGTGTTTAGAATGTTGACTGTGACTGTCTTGAGTGTCTAGAATGTTGAATGTGATTGTCTTGAGTGTCTAGAATGTTGAGTTTGTCTTTAATGTCTAGAATGTTGAGTGTGACTGTCTTGAGTGCTTGAATGTTGAGTGTGATTGTCTTGAGTGTCTATAATGTTGAGTGTGACTGTCTTAGAGTGCTAGAATGTTGAGTGTGACTGTCTTGAGTGTCTAGAATGCTGAGTGTGATTGTCTTGAGTGCTAGAATGTTGAGTGTGACTGTCTTGAGTGTCTAGAATGTTGAGTGTGACTGTCTTGAGTGTCTAGAATGTTGAGTGTGACTGTCTTGAGTGTTTAGACTGTTGAGTGTGACTGTCTTGAGTGTCTAGAATGTTGAGTGTGGCTGTCTTGAGTGTCACTGTCTTGAATGTCTAGAATGTTGAGTGTGACTGTCTTGAGTGTCTAGAATGTTGAGTGTGACTGTCTTGAGTGTCTAGACTGTTGAGTGTGACTGTCTTGAGTGTCTAGAATGTTGAGTGTGGCTGTCTTGAGTGTCTAGAATGTTGAGTGTGACTGTCTTGAGTGTGTAAATGTGTGAGTGTGATGTAAATGGTTTAATAAACCAACAATTTGTAGAATGAGACACTTGTGTAACATTTGGAGATCTTTATCAAGGAAATGTTTTTGCCAGCCAGTGACTTCTTCAGTCCAAGATAGAGAAGAATGGTGGAAAATGATCAGGAGTTTGAGGTAGTCAGTTCCTCGGGACAAATTCCCTAGTGTAAGAAGGTCAGACACAGTAACATCTTCGGATCTTGATACGGGGAATTCTTCAGTGCTTGCCTAACCTACAGTCATGACCTACTTACACTAGTGGATTTGTCTAGTGGTAACTCCACAAGATTGATTGGCTGAACACTTTGAATCCAGCTGAGGGACTGATTAACTCAAACCCCTTATCATCTTACACCACTCTTCTCTTTATTGGACTGAAGAAGCCACTGGATGGCAAAACATTTCCTCAATAAAGATTTCCAAATGTTAGACAAGTGTCTTAGTCTTGAAATTGTCGGTTTTCTAAACCATTTACATTACACTGAGAATCTTACACTAAGACTAAGGGACTGATCCCCTCAAATTACTCCTCCACAATGTCTGCTGTCTCCTGGAGGGTGATTCACCCCTGCTTTTTGATGAAACGTGCACTGCAGGTGAAACGTTTCACCAGTAAAGACAGCCAGTGTTGTTCATGTGTTGTCCTCATCACAGTGTCTGAGTGGATGTAAAGACTGACCTCAGGTAAAGTTGAAAGAATTTATATGTTGCAATCTTAAGATCAGTGTTGTAATGTTAAGATCAATGTTGCAGTGTTAAGATCAGCATTGCAATGTTAAGGTCAAGGTTGCAATGTTAAGATCAATGTTGCAATGTTAAGATCAATGTTGCAGTAAGCTAATTGTTGCAGCTTTAACTGAAATCAGTGTTCCAGTGTTAAGATAAATATTGCATTGTTAATTAAGATCACTATTGCATTGTTAAAATCGTCAGAGAAGTTGATCTTTTGCAGCTGAGATAATGATCATTATTATTGCATTATTCTTGTTGCATGTTCTCCTACTGTAAATGTCATGTTCTTAGTAACTTGATGAGCAAGTGAGCAAAATATTGCCAAGCAATGTTCTCACTGCTTCACCTGATGATCTAGCAGACTGTTGGTATCTTTGTGTGTATGTTGGGGAACCACTCTTATATTATTGAAGACTACAGTAGTCCCCCGTATCCGTGGCTGATAGCTTCCAAGACCTACCCCAGCTGCCCGAAACCATGGATAGTAGCAAACCTTATATATAAGTCGTTTTTTGGCTAAGTACAGGTGCTCCTCACTTATCAACCAAGTTCCGACTGAAGAGTAGGTTGGTATGTGAATTAGTTGTTAAGCAAGGAGCATACTGTGGGTGTTAAGCAAGGAGCATACTGTGGGTGTTAAGCAAGGAGCATACTGTGGGTGTTAAGCAAGGAGCATACTGTGGGTGTTAAGCAAGGAGCATACTGTGGGTGTTAAGCAAGGAGCATACTGTGGGTGTTAAGCAAGGAGCATACTGTGGGTGTTTTAAGCAAGGAGCATACCGTGGGTGTTAAGCAAGGAGCATATCGTGGGTGTTAAGCAAGGAGCATACTGTGGGTGTTAAGCAAGGAGCATACTGTGGGTGTTAAGCAAGGAGCATACTGTGGGTGTTAAGCAAGGAGCATACTGTGGGTGTTAAGCAAGGAGCATACTGTGGGTGTTAAGCAAGGAGCATACTGTGGGTGTTAAGCAAGGAGCATACTGTGGGTGGGTGTGTCAGTTATCTTTAGATATTGTTTTAATTTCACCATTACACCATTTATAATAGCTGTAGTACATTTTTAAATGTTTATACAGTAGTGTACTGTATACTGTAATAAACAGAATAGAGGAAATCAGCTCTAGTACACATTACTTAGGTTTGCATACTGGTTGGAGAGCTGAACCTAAGTCCAAGCAGTCATTAAACAGGTAGGATGTTAAGTGAGTAGTACTTGTACATACCTATGATAAAGTTTAGTTGATAAATTACATGCAATAAGACATTATGATGTTGATGGTTGGGGATCATCACTAGTCGACATTTTTTGTTTTATAACCTTTTGGAAAAACAGCATGATAGGAAGTTGTTATTCTTTCCTTTCAGTTCATCAAGTAAATTCTTCGGTGATTATACGGGTGAGTTTAATGCTGTGTTCCATCATAGGATCATAATCCATGATGTTTTCCTTTAAAGTCTGTGCAATCTGAAACACTTTGACAAAGTTTTCCAATGTCCACATTGTTGGTTCTGCCTTATTTCTTCTTCCTCATCTTCTTCCTTTGTTGATGACTTGACAAAGTCTTC